AGACTGAAGCGGGAGGATCACTTGAGCCCAGGAGTTTGAGGTTACAGACAGTGTTGAAGAAAAATTGTCCCAGTGGGTGGAACTTCGGGGTGATACATCTGTGGGTGCTTTCTGTGGAAGGAAAGGTGGCCTAAGGAACAGATTTATATGGACGCATGAGCAGTGTCTGATAGACCTGCCAGCTGCAGACACTTGGAAAGAGCACAACTGGACATCTGATGGTTTAGGAGACAGGACTGTGGACAGCTTCTCAAAATAGTCACAGGGTAGGAAGATTGTCAAATAAATGCCCATCAGAGAGCAATTGGTGGAGGAGTCCTCAGTGGTTAAACAGGATGACTCATGCTGTAGATTGTGTCAGCCTCTTTCCCCAGCCAGACCCGTGCTTTCTCAATGGTGCCATACAGAGTGCTTCGCCACCAAATGTCTGTGTGTGCTAGAAAATGCCTGTGCTCAGTCTGGGCGTGGTGGTACACGCCTGTAATCCCAGCTACTCAGGAGGCTGAGGCAGACGAATCACTTGAGCCTGAGAGGCAGAGGTTGCAGTAAGCCGAGATCACACCATTGCATTCTAGCCTGGGCAACAAGCGTGAAACGCCATCTCAAAAAAAAAAAAAAAAAAAAAAAGGACTGTCTTTGTCCATGTTGGTTTGTTTTTTGAGAAACAGTCTCACTCTGTTGACAGGCTGGAATGTAGTGGCGTGATCTCAGCTCACTGCAACCTCTGACTCCCTGGTTCAAGTAATTTTCTTGCCTCAGCCTCCCAAGTAGCTGGGACTACAGGCACGCGCCACCACGCCCAGTTAATTTTTTTTATTTTTAGTAGAGACAGGGTTTCAACATGTTGGCCAAGGTGGTCTCGATCTCCTGACCTCGTGATCCACGTGCCTTGGCCTCCCAAAGTGCTGGGATTATAAGCATGAGCCACCGTACATGGCGTGTCCATGTTTTTTATACAGCGCTTTTAATTAGTTTTTGGTTTTTTAATTTTTTTTTTTCAAGACAGAGTCGTGCTTTGTCATCCAGGCTGAAGTGCAGTAGCATAATCTTGGCTCACTGTAACTTCCACCTTAAGCAATTCTCGAGTCTCAGCCTCCTGAGTAGCTGTGATTACAGGCTCCTGCCACCATGCCCAGCTACATTTGTTTTTGTTTTTGTATTTTGAGTAGAGATGGGGTTTTGCTATGTTGGCCAGGCTGATCTTGAACTCCTGGCCTCAAGTGATTCACCCGCCTTGGCCTCCCAAAGTTCTTGTGGATTACAGGCATGAGCCACCATGCTGGCTTTTTTTTTTTTTTTTTTTTCAGCATTTTTTAAAAAAAAAAAGAAATATATTGCCAGGCATGGTGGCTCACACCTATAATCCCAGCACTGTCACCCAGGCTGGCTCACTGCAACCTCCACCTCCCGAGTTCAAGTGATTCTCCCTTCTTGGTCTCCTGAGTAGTTGGGGTTAGAGGCATGTGCCACCACACCCAGCTAATTTTTGTATTTTTAGTAGACACCAGGTTTTACCATGTTGACCAGGCTGGTCTCAAACTCCTGACCTCAGATGATCTGCCTGCCTTGGCCTCCCAAAGTGTTGGGGTTACAGGCACGAGCCACTGCACCCCACCTGTCTGGCCAGTTTTTAAAACACTTTCAAGAGAGCTAGTCTTTGTTGAATAAAGCCAAACATTTTGCTGCATCATTTCTTTTTATCTCCAAGAGTTTCTGACACTAGCGTCTCTGCGAAGAAAGCAGTGAGTTTGGCTCTGGTTGCCCAGGCTAGAGTGCAGTGGTGTGATCGTAGCTCACTGCAACCTCCGCCTCCTGAGTTCAAGCAATTCTCCTGCCTCAGCCTCCAAAGTAGCTGGGATTACAGGTACCTGCCATCATGCCTTGCTAATTTTTGTATTTGTAGTAGAGACAGGGTTTCACCATGTTGTCCAGGCTGGTCTTGAACTCCTGGCTTCAGAAGATCCACCCACCTTGGCCTCCCAAAGTGCTGTGTTTACAGGTGTGAGCCACTGCGCTTGGACTTTTTTCTTTTTTTTAATAGGCAAGGTCTCGCTCTGTCACCCAGGCAGTGGAGTTATCACGGCTCGCCGTAGCCTCAGCCTCCTAGACTCAAGTGATCCTCTTGCTTCAGCCTCTGGAGTAGCTGGGACCACAGCATGCCACCACACCCAACAAATTTTTAAAAGTTTTATACAGAGGGTCTTTCTCTGTTGTCCAGGCTGGCTTTGAACTTCTAGCCTCAAGTGACCCTCCCCACTTTGGCTTCCCAAAGTGCTGGGATTACAGGCATGAGTCACCACGCCCAGCCTATAGTAAATTTCATTGTGAGGATTTCATATTTTTTGCAAGTTTCTTGTTTAGTCATCTGTGTGCCCTTCAATTTTATACCTTATTAGCCTCTGTGTTTTACAAATGAGTCTAACAGACCAATATGGGGTCTTTTTAAAAATGGGGTATGAAATGAAAGGAGAGAATTCTAGGTCCAGGTCTATGGACAAATCTGGTAAGGTTGGTTATCGATAAAGAATTACAACCTAATTGTAGTTAGGTTCTTTTTCCATTTTGCTGGAGCCAAGTAAATGTGCCATTTTTAAAAAAGTCTATTTGGGCTGGGCACGATGGCTCACGCTTGTAATCCCAGCACTTTAGGAGGCCAAGATGGGAGGCTCACCTGAGATTAGGAGTTTGAGACTAGCCTGGCCAACATGGTGAAACCCTGTCTCTACTAAAAATGCAAAAATTAGCAGGGCACAGTAGTAGGCGCCTGTAATCCCAGCTACTCAGGAGGCTGAGGCAGGAGAATCGCTTCAGCCTGGGAGGTGGAGGTTGCAGTGAGCCAAGATCATGCCACTGCACTCCAGCCTGGGCAACAGAGCAAGACTCTGTATCCAAAAAAAGAAAAAGAAATTTACTATAATACTAACTTGCGTAATTCATGTTTTATCATGTTTACTTCAACAGAAAAATAGCAGGGAGGCAGCTGAGTCACAGCACTTACAAATTCTTTCTTTAGAAGGAAGTGTTCCTCTGATTTTCTATCACACCAGTTCAATTTTCTTTGCTCCCATAAGTCAGTCGCTGGTACATAAAGGGAGGTTGGGGAGCGAATTCAGGAGGGCAAGGATGGTGTCATCAGCCTTAACCTCCTCCCCAGGCCACGCATGCTCATAAATTATCAACAGACTTCCCAATGTCATGTTGAAAAATGAGAAAGACCCAATTGAATGAACACAGTCCTGTTTTTCTTTTTTCTTTCTTTCTTTCTTTTTTTTTCCTTTGAGACAAGGTCTCACTCTGTCACCCAAGCTGGAATACAATGGCGCAATTTTGGCTCACTGCAACCTCCGCCTCCTGGGCTCAAGCGATTCTTGTGCCTCAGCCTCTCGAGTAGCTGGGACTTTAGGCACATGCCATATGTTGGGCTAATTTTTTGTATTTTAGTAGAGACAGGGTTTCACCATGTTGTCCAGGATAGTGTTGAACCCCTGAGCTCAGGCGATCCACCCACCTCGGCCTCCCAAAGTGCTGGGATTACAGGCATGAGCCACCACGCCCGGCCCCTGATCTGCTCTTTATAAGAAAATTGTAAGAGATTGCACCATTGCACTCCAGCCTGGGTGACAGAGCAAGACTCCATCTCAAAAAAAAAAAAAAAAAGAAAAAAAGAAAAGAAAACAAAATGTATATGAAGCAATCCTCAATAAATGATGGCTGATAGTTTTATTTTGGTAATAACCCTGGGTGGGGGGAGGTCCACAATATCAGTGATCAAGAAGAGAATAATAAAGCCAATAATTATTATGGTGGCTCACATATTAACATGTGGCCGAGGTGGGTGGATCATTTGAGGCCAGGAGTTCAAGACTAGCCTGGCCAACATGGTGAAACCCCATCTCTATTAAAAATACAAAAATTAGCCAGGGTGGAGTGTGGTGTCAGTTGCCTGTAATCCCAGCTACTCGGGAGGCTGAGGCAGGAGGATCACTTGAACCTGGGAGGCAGAGATTGCAGTGAGCCGAGATTGTGCTGCTATACTCCAGCTTGAGTGACAGAGCAAGACTCTATCAAGCAAAACAAACAAACAAACAAAAGTTAATAAAAGGCTTACATATCAACTTTTTTGATCCTGTGGGGTAGGTGTTATTATTCCCATTTTACAGAGGAAGAAACTGAGGCATGGGAAAGTTCAGCGACAAGCCCAAGGTCACACACCTACTTATGGTGGAGTCAGGCAGTCTTCACCCCACAGCCAACTGATTTTTAGATGGACTGGGGACTAGACCACTTGGACCATTTTCTCTTTTTTTGTTGTTGTTTTTGAGACAGAGTTTTGCTCCTGTTGCCCAGGCTAGAGTACAGGGTCGTGATCTCGGCTCACCCCACCCTCCACCTCCCGGGTTCAAGTGATTCTCCTGCCTCATCATCCTGAGTAGCTGGGATTACAGGTGCCTGCCACCATGCCTAGCTAATTTTGTATTTTTAGTAGAGATGGGGTTTCTCCATGTTGGTTAGCCTGGTCTCGAACTCTCGACCTCAGGTGATTGGCCTGACTTGGCCTCCCAAAGTGCTGGGATTACAGGCATGAGCCACTGTGCCTGGCCACTTGGACTATTTTTTTTCCCCCAACAACAGGACTAAAGCAGCTGATGAAGCCATGGTGTCCCCAGGGACTTCTTTGTCCAACTTTGCCAGTGACCTGTGGAGTCACCTTGGTCCAGGCCCTCCCTTTTCTTGATCTCGGCTTCCTCATTTACAATGAAGGAGTTAGACACAATCATTCTTGATTCTGAACTGTAGCCCAGGAAGAGGCATTTGGGAATGAGGCCCTGACCTGCTGGTGACATCATAGAGGGGAGGGTTCCGCGAGAATAGTCGGGACATTCTGGAAGCCCAATGCCACAGTCTGCATTGAGCTGGGCTCAGGAAGGAAGGGAAATCCAGGTGGGGCCTGTTGGGCTCAAGTCTTCAGAGCTCTTCCCTCCAGAGGTCCCAGCACAGTCATGGATCAAAACTTAAGGCCTGAAAAGGCTCAGAATGAGGCGGACACCAATAACGCAGACGTGTTCTTCCACTCCCACTCATCCCCCGGAGGCCAGGGCCACAGGCCAGGCCACCGTGGATCTCACCACCATCACAAGTCACATCATGGCGTGCCACACCATCGTGATGAATCTCGCCACCCTCCAGAGTTCCAAGACTTCCACAGCCGTGCCTCCTCCTCCCATGTCCCCCAGTCTTACCGCCACAACGAGTCGCGGAATCATGGCAGGACCCACGGCCCCACAGGCTTCGGCCTGGCTCCCCCTCAAGGCGCCGCCCCCTCCCAGCATCCCTATGCTGAGGACTACCTTGATGGCAGGAGGCTTTCTGACGTGTCCCAATACAGTGGGTCCCAGCAGCAGAGTGACTCCCGCTACCACAGGGGGTCCCATCACCAGGGCAGACAGCACTATCTCAGTGAGAATTTGTCCCGCCATTCCTCTGGCATGCCCCACCAACGCAGTGAGGCTTCCCACCGTGATGGGTCCTATCTGCCCCATGGACCTGTTGCCTACAGTGAGTCCTTCCACCAAAATGAGGCTTTCGACATTAGCGGGATCCAACCTGACGGGACCCACCATCGCCAAGCCCACCAACGTGGCTGGCCCCACCATCACCAAGTCCAACAGCATGGAAGGCCTCCTCATCACGGAGAGGCCCTTTCCCAACCTTCCTTTGTGGGTACACCTGACTATCACGGCGAGTACCGCCAAGGTGATCGCCACCCTGGTGAGCACCACCGCGATGGGCATCCCCACCACTCACAGCACCACCACCACCGGACCCACCAGCACCAAGACCACCTCCACCACCGAGACCACCACCACGGCGCACATCAGTCCAGTTACCCCCGCAGCGACTACCAGTATAGGGACTACGTCCAGAGCCTTTCCCAGCTCTCCATTCCACAGCAGGATGCCCTCAGCCCTGGTGCTTCTCATGCAGGAGCGTTCCCCTCTCATGGGGTACACCCAAGGGGCTTGGCCCGCAGCATGATTCCATCCGCCACTGCAATCCACTCACATGCCAACCAGATGTCCAAAAAACTCCATCCCCAGATTTTCTCCACCAAAGACTCAGAAAGCTGGGGCAAAGGAGAGGGGCGATCTCGGAAACGCAAAAGTGAGTCCTTGCTGGGCCCCTCATGCCAACTCCCGCTGCCTGGTGCAGGTTCCAGACCTGACCTGGGCCCCACACTGACCTTCCATAGGAGTGGGAGCCCTCAGGATCCCCAGAAGTCAACTCCAAATCCCCAACAGGCTGGGTCCTGCCGCAGAAGGCACAGGACTAGCACAGAAGCGGCTTAGCCAGCGGAGGGCCAGCAAGCAGGCGGGAGTGACCATGGATGCTGACGCAGGCTGGGAGGGTGCTTGGGACCTTGTGTCCTCCGCCTGCACACACTTGACTTTCTGTCCCTTTTCCTTTCAGTTGGCCAGCTCCAGCGGACCCACAAGAAGGGACAGTCTACCAATCTCTTACAGTGGCTGTGGGAAAAGTTAAGCCATCTCATTCATGGCTTCCGGGAAATGATCCGGTCGCTTACCCAATCCCTGGCCTTTGAAACCTTCATCTTCTTCATCGTCTGCCTGAACACCATCATGCTGCTGGCCCAGACCTTTGCAGAAGTCGAGATCCGGGGTGGTAAGAGCCAAGGAGTCCTGTTCCCATGGAGAAGCCACTGTGCTGTTCCAGGGCCTCCGTGAGCCTGATCCAGTGCGGGGCGGTTCACAGGACTCGGCTCACTTGATCCTCACCCCTGGGAAGTAGATGCCTGGTGTTAGAGAGCGGCTCAGAAAGACCCCGCTGAGGTCGGCCGGCCGGCCAGAGACAGGAGGACCAGCTGGGCGGGAGGCGGTGCTGTTCGCGCCGCAGCCACGAGGGGACGCATCTGCTCCTAATGTGCGGCTGAGAGCGGGCGGGCTGGCGCCTGGGCCCGAGCTTCGCGGGAAGGGCCGGGAGCGGAGAAGGCCCTGGAGGGAGAGGATGGAAGGCGGGGGAAGGCTGGGCCCTCTGACGCCATGGAGCAGGGTGAAGGCCGGGAGCCGCCCGGCTCGCTACCTCAGGCGCCACTCTAAGCGCTTTGCTTGTGTTCGTGCATTTAATGCTCACAACTCTATCGAGTGGACTTCAATTATCCCCATTTTATTTTATTTTAGACGTAGTCTCGCTCTTTCCCCCAGGCTGGAGTGCAGTGAGGGATCTCGGCTCACCGCAACCTCCACGTCTTGGGTTCAAGTGATTCTCCTGCCTCAGCCTCCCCAGTAGCTGGGATTACAGGCATGAGCCACCACACCTGGCTAATTTTTGCATTTTTGGTAGAGACGGAGTTTCACCATGTTGGCCAGGCTGATCTCGAACTCCTGACCTCAGGTGATCTGCCTGCCTTGGCCTCCCAAAGTGCTGGGATTACAGGCATGAGCCACTGTGCGCAACCACAGTTATCCCCATTTTAAAGACAAGAAAACCGAAGCACACATCAGTAGTTAAGTCACACAGCTGCTTAGGCAGAACCGGGGAGAGCCTAGGAATCCGGGCTTGTGTGAGGCTCATGCTGAGGAGAGAGAGGATTCTGGGTGCTGGGACAGCCCTGTGTGCACCCTGTGTCCCTGCAGAGTGGTACTTCATGGCCTTGGACTCCATCTTCTTCTGCATCTATGTGTTGGAAGCCCTGCTCAAGATCATTGCCCTGGGCCTCTCGTACTTCCACGACTTCTGGAACAATCTGGGTGGGTGGGGCCGGGGCCAGGCTGCTGGTGTTTAGTCTGGGGTGGGGGGTGCTCAGATCGAGAGAGGGGTGGGGAAGGGGGCGCTGTCATCAGGATCCTGCCAGGCTCAAGTGCCCCTGTGCCCTCAGACTTCTTCATCATGGGCATGGCCGCATTGGACTTCGGGCTGATGCTAACCCACTCCTTCGCCATCTACCACCAAAGCCTCTTCCGGATCATCAAGGTCTTCAAGAGCCTTCGGGTCCTGAGGGCCATCCGGGTCTTGCGGAGGCTCAGGTCCGTGGCCATGGCTCCAAAGGAAGAGGGGACACAGGTCGGGGCCCCCAAGAAATCCACTGTAACCTGCTCAAGGGTTGGGGGCACAGGAGGCTGCTGACCCCAGCCTGCTTCTGCCTCCTGCCATGCACTGGAATCAGCCCCCTCATTTTTCCAGAGAGGGACCGGGACTCACCCAAATCACCAAGTCAAGGGCCTTCTGCCTTCAGTGCTAGCTCTGGCTGCTGGGCACAGACACCCCACCCTGATGACTCAGTCCCTGCTCTTCTGCCCACAGCTTCTTGAACAGTGTCCAGGAAGTGACAGGGACCCTGGGCCAGTCCTTGCCATCCATCACAGCCATCCTCATCCTCATGTTTACCTGCCTCTGTATCCTAGTGCTGCAGGGGCTGGGGCCGGGGCCTGAGGGGCTGCAGTGGAAAGGGTGTGGGGGTTGGGGATGGGGCAGGGCGCTGGGGCGGGGATAGGACCCAAGAGCCGAGTTTGGCCCTGACCAGCCAGTCCTCTTCTCCGTGGTCCTCCGAGCACTGTTCCGCAGATCAGACCCCAGGCGATTCCAGAACATCTTCACCACCATCTTCACCCTCTTCACCTTGCTCACGCTGGATGACTGGTCCCTCATCTACATGGACAGCCGTGCCCAGGGTAGGGCAGGCCCCAGTCTGAGGGCATGGCAGGGGATTGGCCGGATGGACTGGTCCTGAGGGCTCAGTGACCCCATCAGCAAAGTGAGGCTTCTGATGCCTGTGGGTCGGGGTGTGGCGGGGCAGATCCTGGTTGGGGCCCAAGCACAACTTGACTGCGCCCTCTGACCTGCTCCCCCCAGGCGCCTGGTACATCATTCCCATCCTCATGATTTACATCATCATCCAGTACTTCATCTTCCTCAAGTGAGGACCCACCCCTGCTCTGCTGCCCAGCGCCACCCACTCCTCCTCCTCGCCCCTGGGACCCCTACCCCAGCCCTCTCACTCTGATCATGCCACGCTGAACCCACAGGAAGTACTGGGTGCCCCTCTCCTCTGGCCTCCTCGCTGAGGGCACCCTCCTCTCCCCCTCCCAGCCTGCTGATTGCTGTCCTGGTGGATAACTTCCAGATGGCACTGCTGAAAGTCCCCGAAAAAGTGAAACAGGAGGTACCGAGTGGGGTGGGACGGGTGGACCCAATCAGGAAGCTGGAGGAGCGAGGCCAGAGGGCTCCAGGGATGAGCAGGCCTGGAACCCTGGCAGATCTGAGGCCTCTTCTTCCCAGAAGGCTACCCGGATCCAGAAGAATCTGCTGGAAGACTCACTGACAGAGCTCAAAGCTGCAGGTACCAGCTTGGCCTACCCTGGCCCCATCTGCCCGATCTCAGTGGGAGCCAGTCTCTCCAGGCCCCCAACCACCTTCCACAGTCAGACACAGAATCCCAGGCTCAGTTTTAGAGTTTTAGAATTTGAGGCTCAGGAGGACTTTAGTCCAGAGGACTCTAGGACAATCCTCCCAAAGCCAGTTAAACTGCGTGTCAGATCTTTTTTTTTTTTTTTTTGAGATGGAGTCTTGCTCTGTTTCACAGGCTAAAGTGCAGCGGCGGATCTCTGCTCACCCGCAGCCTCTGCCTCCCAGGCTCAAGCAAACCTTCCATCTCAGCTCCTGAGTAGCTGGGACTACAGGCATTTTTGTATTTTTTAGTAGAGATGGGGTTTCACCATGTTGGCCAGGCTGGTCTCAAACTTGAACCCCTGACCTCAGATGATCCTCCCATCTTGGCCTCTCAAAGTGCTGAGATTACAGGTGTGAGCACTACACCCAGCCCTGCTTGTCCAATCTTAAAAAACCCACATGGGGCCAAGTGCGGTGGCTCACGCCTTCATCCTAGCACTTTGAGAAGCTGAGACAGGCAGATCGATTGAGGTCAGTACTTCAAGTCCAGCCTGGCCAACATGGTGAAACGCTGTTTCTACTAAAATACAAAAATTAGCCCAGCTTAGTGGTGTGCGCCTGTGATTCTAGCTACTCGGGAGGCTGAGGCAGGAAAATTGCTTGAACCTGGGAGGCAGAGGTTGCAGTAAGCCGAGATGGTGCTACTGCACTCCAGCCTGGGCAACAGATTGAGATTCTGTCTTAAAAAAGAGGCTGGGCGAGGTGGCTCACGCCTGTAATCCCAGCACTGTGAGAGGTCAAGGTGGGTGGTCACTTGAGGTCAGGCATTCAAAACCAGCTTGGCAACATGGTGAAGCCCCATCTCTACTAAAAATACAAAAATTAGCTGGGTATGGTGGCGGGTGCCTGTAATCACAGCTACTTGGGAAGCTGAGGTGGGAAAATCACTTGAACCTGGAAGGCAGAGGCCATGGTGAGCCAAGGTTGTGCCATTACATTCCAGCCTGGGAGACAGAGCGAGAATCCGGCTCAAAAAAAAAGTTCTGATTGGCCAGGCCTAAGTCACCTGTCTTTGAAGCTGGAGGGTGGGGCTAACCTCAGCCAAAGGATGTGGACTGAAAAGGGGTAGGAGTGATTGGTTCCTCAGGCAAATGGGGGTACTTCTACCAGAAAGAAGTGGGGTGGGTGCCAGACAGGCAAACAAACAAAAGGAACTGCATGGAGCTGCACGCCTCTTGGAGCAGCCTGGACAGAAACGCCTTTAGCCGTTATCTTCCTGACACGGGGTTCCTCTGCCTCCTCTCCACGTCCAGGCATCTTCTTGACCTCACCCTTCTTTTTCTACATCCAGAGCCCAAAGAGGTGTTGAGTGAAGGCACCATGCTGAAGCGACTCATCGAGAAGAAGTTTGGGACCATGACTCAGAAGTGAGGAGACAGGAAGGGAGCGAGGCCGGTGGAGGGCTGGGGAAAAGGGGCATGGCCGGCCCTCTGGAAGGGGATAGAGTGCTGAGACTTGTGGATGAGACTCTGGGTGCAGCATGGAGACCTGGAGTGGCTCCTGCACATCCGGAGGTGTGTGTGCCACCTGGGTAATCCCAGCAGCAAGGGCTCCCCCAATTCCTTCACCCCAAAACCATCCCCAACCTTTGTCAGGGTGGTCCCTGTGAGGGATCCGGGGACCCAAAGAGGACACAGACTCAGCCCTCGCCCATGAGGACCCCACGTCTAAAGACCTGTGTTGGGCCACGGAGGATGAGTGGACTTCAGCCGGGTGGAGGGATGATGAGGCGATTGGAGGAAAGGCTTAGGTCAAGGCCTGGAACCCAGATGCTCAACCTCCATTCCTGTCTACTTGAGTGACCAGCTAGACCAGGAAAGCCGGGGACTCACGCTGTCCCCATGAGAAGGATCTCTGGGGAGTCAGGCCTTGGAGCACCAGGAGCCCTGCCCAAGCCTGGCAAACTCTCTTCTCTCTCTTTCTTTCTTTCTGCCTTCCTTCCTTTTTCTTTCTCTCTCTTTCTTTCTTTTTTTTATTCTTTCTCTTTTTCTTTTTCTTTCTTTCTTTTTTTCTTTCTTTCTTTCTTTTTCTTTTTTTTCTCTCCTTTTTTCCTTCCTTCCTTCTTTCCTTCCTTCCTTCCCTTCCTTCCTTCCTTCTTTCCTTCCTTCCCTCCCTCCCTCCCTCCCTTTTTCTTTCTTTTTTAAGGCAGTCTCACTCTGTCACCCAAGCTGGAGTGCAGTAGCACAATCTAGGCTCACTGTAACCTCCACCTCCCGGGTTCAAGCAATTCTCCCACCTCACCCTCCTGAGTAGCTGGAATTACAGGCATGCGCCACCACCTCTGGCTATTTTTTTTTTTTTGGACTTTTTTAGTAGAGATGGGGTTTCACCATGTTGGCCAGGCTGGTCTCAAACTCCTGACCTCAAGTGATCCGCTTGCCTCAGCCTCCCAAACTGCTGGGATTACAGGTGTGAGTCACTGCGCCCAGCCTTTCACTTATCGTTCAGATTCAGCTCATTGATGCTGCCTCCAGAAGCCTTTCCAGATCCCCAGCACTGGGCAAGATTTCCCTCCTCCAGGACCCTCAGCACCCAAGTTCATGCCTTAGAGTGTCAGCAGCTATCGGCTCCGAGGGCAAAGTCTCTCATTCATCTGCATCTCCTTGAAGCACCTTGCAGGGCCCATTGTTTCCGGTGTTCTTTGATGAATGGGTTGACAAGATGGTGGGAGCATGTGAATGGGTCAACGATGTGTAATGTGGTATGTGGACGAGTGGGTGGATGGACAGGTGGATGACTGACTACACAGTATCGAAGGTGTTGATGGGCTGTCGGGGTGGCTACAGGAAAGAGCAGGTGGATGGAGGGGGCGGTGAGTTGTGAGTGGCTGGAGAGCCAGATGGGTGAGTGACTGAATCAGGAGGTGGGTGGATGGATGGGCGGATGGTCGAGTGGGCGCATGGAGAGGTACGGGGCAGATGAATGGGAGGGTGGAGGGATGGGCAGTTAGGAGGATAAACAATGCCAGAAGCCTCTGTGCTACAGGCAGACGTGGGGCTTTCTTGTATGTGGAAAAGGAGACCTCCTGGAAAGGGAGCTCTGCGGTCATATAAATTGTGCAGGGAGGAGGCAGGCAAGAAGAGCCTCTGGGTGGCTTTGGGGCCCAGGAAGCCCAGCCGGCAGGTCAGCCCAGCCCCTGCCTCTGTGTCCCCCGGCCCACAGGCAGCAGGAGTTCCTGTTCCTCTACCTGCAGCTAGTGGCGAGCGTGGAGCAGCATCAGCAGAAGTTCCGCTCCCAGGCAGCCATCGTCGATGAGATTGTGGACACCACATTTGAGGTGAACCAGGCAGGAACAGGAAGGGGCCAGCGAGGGGAACCCAGGGGCTTGTAGCCAGAAGTGACCCTGACTAACATTCCCATGGGGATCTGGGAGGGCAGAGGCTGTGCTGGCTCATTCACCCAGCTGTGCCCCACCAACCTCTGCAGGTTGGAGAAGAGGACTTCAGGAACTGACCCCAGGAGAAGAACACCAGATACATACTTCAGCCCTGGCAGTCTGCCCGCCTGGGTGCGCTGGAGCAGATCCCCAGATCTGCTGGAATGATTGTCTGGGCCCTGCAGAGTCGGGGCTCCAACAGAGTTTTTAAACCCCAGGAGGCTCTATGTCCTCACTGGCTGGGCCTAGGCACAGGGAAGGGAATTGGTGAACACGCAACCTGAGTGGGTGCCAGCATTGCATGTGTGCCAGTGTTGCGTGTGTGCCAGCATTGCGTGTGTGCCGACGTTGCGTGTGTGTGTGTGCCAGTGTTGCATGTGTGCCAGCATTGCGTGTGTGTGTGCCAGGGTTGTGTGTGTATGTGCCAGCGTTGCGTGTGTGCCAGCGTTGCTTGTGTACCAGCGTTGCGTGTGTGCCAGTGTTTCATGTATGCCAGCGCTGCGTGTGTGTGTGCCAGAGTTGCATGTGTGCCAGTGTTGCATGTGTGCCAGCGTTGCGTGTGTGTGTGTGCCAGAGTTGCGTGTGTGCCAGTGTTGCATGTGTGCCAGCGTTGCGTGTGTGTGTGCCAGCGTTGCGTGTGTGTGT